TGTGAGTGTGACGTGGAAGCAACGCTCAAGGCAAAGTCTTGGTGGTAGCAAGCGAGTTGAGACTTTTTGACAGAGGAGGCAAAGAGCGCATTTTTTTGGGAGATGCATTTTCTTCGAGCGGTCCTTCCTGGCTACATGATACTATGCCTAATTTCTTTGCTGCCTTTCTTAAATTCTCTTGTGTTTTGTGAAGAGGCGAGGCCATGGTCTTTGTTTGCTCAGTTCATACAGCTCATACAAAAACAACATGTGGACTGACTCGAACAATCTCTGCAGCGTTTGCAGCACCATGGTTGGATGTGGAAAGGAATCACTGCCTTCAAGAGACTGACATCAATCAAGAATCAAGACACCTATATAAACGGTCAACAAGCATCCGGAACAACTGTTAGGTTATGGCGGCATGGTTGGAACCAAAGCCGTACAATCTCAATTAAAAAGAGCAACAATCCATTTGATCAAGGACAGATTGGTGCCAACAACTTCCCAAATGGCATAGAGGATGACATTGTGAGGTGCTGGCTTTGCTCAAATACTGAATCATAGGTACTTGCTATGGCTGAAGGACAAGCCGTATGGGAAGTGATCGGTGGCAAGGACAAGGGTGGCATTATGGTCCGAGAAGGACGAGGCCTCCGAAGCAAGGAAGCCGCTGAGCGTTTGGCCTTTGCTTCCTTTGTGGAAGAGGTGGAGTTAGTGGGTGAGCGTTTGCACTACAAGCTGATGACCGGATCTGGTCCTGAAACAGGTTGGGTAAGCATCAACATTGGGGACAAGGATCTGTTGAAGTGTATCATCAAGCCACCTCCCAAGCCACCACTCTTTTGTGCCTGGTATTCTGGGGGCTTTACAACAGCGGATGGTGAGAAGCTGCTTTCCCCTTTGATGGATGCCGTTCATGCTGCCGGTGTGGAGAAGAGGGCAATTCTTCACTTTCCAGATGCTTATGAGATGTCGGGAGAGGGCTGGGAGGGCCGAGCGCCTTGGTCCAAATACGTTGACAAACTAGTGGAAGAAATCAACAAGGTTTCTGATTCAGACTCGCAACCGCTGGTGCTGTTTGGTCACAGCCGTGGGGCGGCACCGGCCATTTGCGTGGCAAGCCGCCTGGGCGCACGTGTGAAGCAGGTCTACATCGCCGCATGTGGTGCTATGAGGGCAGGTGAAGCAACAGCTTGGGAAGCCCTGAGCAAGAACTTCAAACAAGGCGGAGATCGAGAGCTCCTAGGCTGGTTTTACAGCCTCCAGCCTGAGAATGTTCTTTTGAAACGTGCTGTTGAAAAGGCAGATGACGAGTTCGAAGAGCAGGTGAACAGTAGCAAGTTCCTGTCAGATATGCTTTCCCTGATGCGGCGCCAATACCGGGACGCCATGTATCCGGATCCCGACAGAGATTTCAAGGCAGTCCCAGCGAATGTGACAGCATTTGCTGCGTTGCTGGATGAAGGAAGCCAACCCGAACATATGGAGGATTGGAAGTTGTTGACCTTAGCAAAGTTTCAGAATGTAAGCCTTAATGCTGGGCACATGGATTGCCTTGCCCCGAACACGGCAGGTAAATGCGAACTCTTTGAATTTTTGCAGAAGGATTTGAAGCAATTCATCTCATAAATGTATGTGCGAGAAACAAGTGGTGCTGTTGCAGTAGAACTTGCACACTGTAAGGTGTGACTACTACATATAATTGTATAATTATAGATTAATGCCACACTCTGACATTGGTTTTCAGTTACTCCGCAGGGAAAATTGATGAGGTGACTTTTTTTATTGCGCCAGGTTTAGGTATCAGGGGCATTCAGGTGTGTTGCGCCATCTATGCGCCCCGTGGCTTAAAAAACAGAAATATTCTGCATGATACTTTCATTTGCCTGATGTCGTAGGTAGTACTGTAAACAGTGATTTTTACAGATTTTTACAGTACTTACTGTAACACTCTTCTTCACAGTATAGCTAGATTGCAGCCGGCAGGCCAAATGTACAGAACTTGGCCATTGGGCCATCTATAGGCACCAAACGTTTTTTGGGAAATAGGGAAAACTAATATCCGCACAGACACCCCGCAGAATTTTAATTTTCTGCAATCCAAAGACCAGTTGCGCCATCTATGACGTCCAAATAGCGAGAAAAAGGAGTTACATGGCGCGGCTGTTCCCGCTATTTTTTTTTTGAGTTGCGCCAACAACTTTCTCCCCGGTGTAGCTCAGTTCCCAAGTGGAAGAAAGGCGAAAGAACGGAAAGGCGATAGGTCCAAGCATTTGAAGGTGTCTTAACAAAAGGTTCAGCTCCTATGCATTAGCCGCTTTACTGAATACCTAGCAGACCGCCTATGCATTAGCCGCTTTATTGAATATCTAGCAGACCGCCTATGCATTAGCCGCTTTACTGAATACCTAGCAGACCGCCTATGCATTAGCCGCTTTATTGAATACCTAGCAGACCGCC